ACCTCTTATGCAGTGGATTAATAGAGGCAAAATTGAAATGATTTATAAAATATTAAATCATTTCGGTGTCTTAGCAGACTGTGTTGCTTTGTCTGTCCTCAGTGGCAGAATCACATGTCCTAAAACGGTTAAGGGAAGAGCTTGGAGACATAGAAGAATGTCATCAACAAATCCACTGGGTTGCAGTGGAATAAGGGTGGATAATGAATCTAGATCTGCAATGTATTGTCTGCAAAGACTCGCTGAGTTTTTGAACATTCCTGATTTTAAACAAGGCTGCCCGCAGACCTGAGAAGTTCTATTTTTAAACTATACGGTGACTAAAGACTGAAACTTTGAGGCACTAGTTTAGTTATTCGTCTGAAAACTGCAAGGCTTGCTTCTGCATGGGTTTCAAGGCCCTGTCTGAATCTGCTGAATCTGTTATCTCACTTCTGTTAAAACTATGTTCCTTTCTAATGGGATTTCCTTGCTCAGTGATGCTGAGCAGCAAAAGGCTTGAGTAACTTTGACTTTTACCGTATGAACAAATTACATTGAAATATCTCCTTAAAAATAGGGTTTCTTGTTTAACGTGCTATTTTGTAGTCTAGATTAAAAAATAAAGACCAGCCTTTGGGACTGCATTAATGTTGTCTACTCTCTTAAATAGTTTATAGTCTTTTTTTGCTGTAGAGAGCATGTAACAGTCAGATTGCTAGTATCTTTTATACATTATTCATTAATTACAGCCTTTAGCCTTGGAGCTCATAGCTGTTAGGCCCTGGTTTTGGTGGGGAGCTTGTCAGTTCTTAGCTGCTTGGGTTTCTTGTGACAGGAAGGAGCCAGCAGTTTTAGTGCTAGCAGGCTGCTGCAACTGCAGTGGCTCCTTTGAGCGCCCTCTATGGCCTCCTTCAGTACGGTTGGGGGCAGTTCAAGTTGGTTCAGCTGATAGGAAGTGTGAACATATCCCTCCATTGTTAGGAGACTTGGATACCCTCGTGACAGGCACAATGTAAAAGAATCTAGATGGATAGTAAAAACGCCCCTCAGGGATTTGGAAGATGTGGCATTGTAAGGATAGCTGGGAGGTGAGGGAGGGGAGAGAAGAATGGGACAGAAGGGGCATAAAGGGGAAGAAAAGTACAAGTGAGCATGGAAGTGAATGATGAACTGGGACAAACACAAGGAGATGGGATTCTAGGTTTTCAGAGATAACAAGACGACCTAGGAATAATAGAAAGGGCAGGAAGGGTGTGCGTAAAATTCAGGAGCTGTAGGCAGCAAAAAGCTTTAAGGAAGTAGTCTACAGTGACTCCCTGGAAGAGGGAGCATGGCTGGCAAACCTAGAAAGAGAGGGAAGCTAGATAAGAAGGAATAAATGCAGGGACACCAGTAACCGAAGGACTGTGCAGACCTTAATTGGTTATAAAGTCTCTGGCTGTTGGGAGGAATGGGTGAAGTTGGTAATTTTGAACAGTTAGGGGCACCTACTGAATCTTGAATGATGAGCTTCAATTAACTGTTGCAAGACTAATCTAAAATTCCCCAGAATGTCCTAGGTGCTTCCAGTGTGTTTGGGAAATGTTTCTGGGGTGTTTGTGCAGAATCTCAAGTATTGGCAACTTGTGTTTCTGCATCAGAGGCTGGCAGAGGCCACCCTCCCCCCCCACACACTTTTTATAAATTAAGTGTGGAGATCAGGGTAAAATGAAAGAGGTGAAGTTTGAGACAGGGCAGAGCGGAGAAATAATCTTGCTGACATACCTAGAATCTTTAAAGCTGGTCCTGCCAATGATGTGTGCTGGGTACAGGTTATATGTAGCAGTAATGCACATATTAAGCCTTACAATAACTTGCTGGCTTCCATGCTGCATTACTGCCCTGGAAGAGTGATCTATCCATGTCAATGGTACTTAGGAATAGTTTTGCATGGGCTTTGCTACTACAGGCAGTCCCTGGGTTACATGGATCCGACTTACATCGGATCCCTACTTACAAATGGGGTGAGGCAACCCCGCACTAGCTGCTTCCCCCCAGCAGACCAGGGAGACGTGGAGCAGCTTTTCTCAGCAGACACCTCAGCTTGAGAATAAAGGACTGAGGGAAGTGAGGTATGGGAGAATAAAACTGAGCTCTGGAGAAATGTTTGGCTAGAGTTTCCCCTACAATATGTACCAGTTCCGACTTGCATACAAATTCAGCTTAAGAACAAACCTACAGTCCCTATCTTGTACGTAACCCGGGGACTGCCTGTATACATAGTCAATTTGCATAAATAGTTATTTTGTTTGGCTTACAGTAGTTGCACATTTGAAGAGGAAGGACATTGTTACAGATGAACTCTTACTAAAGTCTGAGTGGATATCATCCTTCATAATCTCTTAAATAAAGGAAGAGTAAAAACTTCAAAAATTATTAATCCCTCTACCTTGGAAAATGTCAAATCCAGACTTATGTGACTAAGCATAGAGTTGTATTGACTTAGTTGTCCTGAAGTCTGTTTAAAACATACCTTGCTTTTGTCTTTGGGGCTATAGTTTTCAATATGCCAATGTGTCACTTCTGAAATGGGGGATGCTGTGAAAACAAGGAAACCAGAAATGATGGGGCATTAATACATTTACCATGCCTGCCATCATAGACAACTTAAGTTCTTATTTCAATAACTGTTACGGTAACATAAACCCCACGTGTGACAGAGGTGAAATGAACTTGGATCCAGAATGAAGGATGTTCATTTAGATTTGGTGGACTTGTCAGTTGGAAAGTGAAGATAGTGGAGATCAGAGCTGAGTAACTTAGCACCAACCTCTAAGTATTTTTCCTGGGCTCCTTGAAAGGAAAGGTATTTGAGGAGGGAGGAGAACTAGTTCAATCTCTATTGCAGTAGCAACTATATCATACAAGTGAAGTTGTTCTTTCAGCTTTGCTCAAGATAGGAGAGGTTTCAAAGCAGTGACCAAAATAATATAAGGTAGTGTCTTCTAGAAACCAAACTGGTGGTGGCAGGTGTTTCTCGGTAGAAGTACTGCATTTTTACCAAGAATACTTAATTTAAAACTAAACTCTTGACAGTGGTATCATTCTTGAATTGCTTCATTTACAAAGCAGGCACATGGCTCAAAATAAGAATCAGATGCTTACATTTCTTATTACTAATTTTTTGTTAAACTGAATTGAGTTCAGTTTTAATCACTAAAATGACAGTTTCTATAAAATCTCAGATTTAAGAATAAATGTTATATTGCTCTGTTTTGCTAGCCATTTTGATTTTATTATGGTTGCCACAATATTTAGTGTGTTCTTAAAGCTGCTGCGCTTGGAGTCATGCGAGTATGTGAGAATTTCAGTTTACATTGAAAAACAAGTTTTGAGGGCCTGACTTGTGATTGTCCAGTTCTTGGAGTTCACAATATTGATATCTTCGTACTTAAATCTCCTAGCTATGAGGGTAAACATTTGCTGTGTTTAGTGGGGTAAGCAGCAAGAGATTTCAGAGTAAATATTTAAGCCCTATTATACATAGAGTAAGTGCAATACTATGGACATAAATTGAGAACAGCAGCACCAGTAATGGCTGGAAAAATGTCCACAAACTAGAGTTGTGGTTAATGTGAGGTGTGGAGATGTATTTCTTAAAGTAACCACTTAAACTAGAAGGCCTATTTAATTTTCTCAACCGGGATATTGAGATTTTTTTTTTTACTTTTTTTTTTTTATTGACAAGATGTAAAATTGCAGTGATTGATAGCCTCTGCTATAACAAATGTTAGTGGTCCTCACCTTCAAAAAAGAGGAACTGTATTTCCCCACAAAAAACCTTCAACAAATAAGTGCAGATATCATCTTTTGAGGAAATAAGATACTTTAACTAAATTTAAACATTTCATGTTCAGTCTCATAGATTTTGAGGCCAGAAGAAACAATTAGACATCTACTTTGACCATCTTTCTCATTTAGCTCAGGCTGCTGCTTAGAGTGTAGAAAGTTAAGTTTTTAGGAGACAAATATTGTTGGCCTAAGTCATGTCAAGATTGAAAACAGACTGTTATAAAGCATAACAATAACCCAGTGTTACATAAATGAGTCAATTTTTATTTAACCTCTGGGCTGCTTTCTCAAAGTAGTTTTGTAGAAAACAGATGAAAACTTGGGGCCAAATCCTCAGCTGTTGAAAATCAGCATAGCTCCTTTGGCTTCATTGGAACTGTACTGATTTATACCGTCTGTATACTGTATCGGCCTCTTAAACTGCATTATGTCCGTTCTCTAAATGTCAGTTGTTTTACATTGAAGGGGTGAAAATATATTTATCAGATTACTGTGGTATTTTGGAGGAAATCAGAGTTAAGCAAGACACATTGGATCTTAATAGGGCTGTTGATTAATCAGTTAACTCACATAATTAACTCAAATTAATTGATTTAAAAATTAGTCAACTAATTGCACTGTTAAATAATAGAATATCAAGTGAAATGTATTAAATATTTTTGGATGTTTTCCTTAATTTTCAAATATATTGATTTTTATTACAACTCAGAATACAAAGTGTACCGCATATAGCTCTGCACAGATACAAAATTTGTATCTGTATCCACATCCATATTCCCAAAAAGGAGCAGTGGATTTTCTCATCTACATCTGTGGATATAAAGTGGACATCTGCTGACTTACAGGGCTCTAGTACAATGTTCACTTTGTTACTTTTATTACAAATATTTGCACTGTAAAAATGATAAATGGTATTTGTTAGTTCAAGTCATGAAAGCATAGCTTGCAAATATAGATTTTGTTTTTAGTTGCATAACTACACTCAAAACCAAAACAATGTAAAAGCTTTAGAGCCTACAAGTCCACTCAGTCCTATTTCTTGTTTTGACAATCACAAAGACCAGTTTGCTTACAATTTGCAAGAGACAGTGCTTCCCTGTTTTGTTTATAATGTCACCTGTAAATGAGAACAAAAGTGTTCTCAAGGCACTTTTGCAACCAGTGTTGCAGATATTTAGGATCCAGGTATGATAAACATTCGTATGCCCATTCATGCTGCAGCCACCATTCCTGAGGACATCCTTCTTGCTGGTGGTGCTTGTTGTAAAATGTTAATTAAAAGTCTGACTGCACTCCTTGGGTGAGAGTTTTGTGTCTCCTGTTTTGCTTTACCTGCATTCTGTCATATTTCATGTTATAGCAGTCTTGGATGCTGACCCAGTACTTAATTGGTTTAAAGAGCACTTTGACAACAAGTATGACAAAACACAAAGAAGGTACTGATGTGGGATTTCTAAAAATAGCTATAGCACTCAACATAAAGTTTTAGACTCTGAAGTGGCATCCAGATTTTGAAAGGGATGAGGTGTGGAGCATGCTTTCAGAATTCTTAAAAGAGCAGCCCTCGGAAACTACAGAACCGCCAAAAAGGAAAATTACCTTCTGCTGGTGCCTTCTGACTATGATGATGAAAATAGCCCTGTCATCAGCATGGATGCATATTCTCTGGAATGGTGATTGAAGCATGAAGAGACATATGAATCTTTAGTGCATCTGTCAGGTAAATGTCTTGCGATGCTGGTTACAGTGTAGTGCCTTTTCTCACTTTCAGAGGATATTGTAAGCAACAAGAAGGCAGCCTTACTTCCTGCAAATTGTAACCAAACTTGCTTCTCTGAGCAAATGGCAGAACAAGAAGTAGGACTTGAGTGGCTGTTAAGCTCTTTAAGTTTTACACTATCTTATTTTTAATGCAATTATTTTTGTACATAATTCTACATTTGTAAGTTGAACTTTGATTATAAAGAGATTGCACTACAGTACTTGAATTGGGTGAAATGAAAAATACTATTGTTTTTTACAGTGAAAATATTTTAATCAAAACAAATATAAATTGAGCACTTGGATTCTCTCTTGTAATTAAAATCAATACATTTGAAAATGTACAAAACATCCAAAAATATTTAAATGGTGGTATTTAATGGTGTAATCACAATTAACTTTTTAAAGTTTGAGTGATTGATCATGATTTTTTTTATTGCTTGGTAGTGCTACATTTTAAAATTAATTCATGCCACTAAATATACACGCAGCAAGATTACACATCTTTAGGCTACATTGTGGCAGTCATGGAAGGCAAGACACTTTGAGACTGGGCTCTTTAGATGACTACAGGTAATAACATAATTGAATACAAAAATTATCAGTGTTCCCCTTGAGACTGTCTTTCATATGGAGGGGCAGGGAATGGAGAATGAAGGGATATTTCTACAAACTCATTTGAGGCCCTGGACCTATCTCCGTTCTGTGTCACTTGGGGTTACTCACTTGAGTAACAATGTTCTGGTTGCCTCAGACCTTTATACAGTCCTTATTTGCATCCCTTATTCCTCACCAATTGAAGATACAGGTGGTAACTCTCCATAAACTGCTTAAACAAGACCTAAAGATTTCACAAATCGAAATTTCCTGTGTGTGCAAGGATTCTTCCATTTATATTTAAGGAATAGTCAGGTTTCTCGGGCTTTTGTATGTGTAATTCAAAAGTATTTTGTCAATACATATATATCCTAAGTGTCTTAAGAGCAGTTGTGGTTCCAAATTTTCCCATGTGACTACACAGGCTTCCCAAGATACTGACTTCTCTGCTGTCACTGCCAAAGTTACAATTTCATTCTTCCTGCAAAGTGTCCATTTTCTAAGTGTCCTATCCTGCATCCTTCTCAGTTCTGTATAAAGTTTCTGTGATCTATAGAAGTCTCAGCATAGTAACAGTAGATAATGTGTTCTGTTTTAAATTTCTCTGTCAACACACACCTGCAGCCATGGTAGCAATCGGTGGGGGAGTTTGTTGTGGCCAGGCAGTTTCATGTGAAATGGTCACCCGTCCAGGGCTTTGATGTCACTTTGCTGCTTGGAATTTCTTGTAGAGATAATCTCTTCCAAGGAGGAAGGCAACGAGATGATTAGGTTCCAGAGTACAGTCTGACCCAGGCAGTCCAGTAAGAGGCTCATTTATTTTGGCCGTTATGGCTTTGTAGCTTTTAGTCCATTTTCTGCCTAGACACACACGTAATTGGTATTCATGTAAGGTGACTTAAAGCAGTGTTTCTCAACTTTTTTTATAAAGTACCCTTTTAAAAAAAAAAAAATTATAAGTACCCCCACTACCTACAGTTTTTAGACACACAATTTTTTTCCCTACCATTGCAACAGATTTGTTTTAAACAACTTAATTGTAGCCGGATGTGCAAAGAAATTTTCGGGGATAAAAAGTACAAAAATAATAAAGCGCTGTAAAAATTAAAAGAAAAATCTGTTTTCCTTCAAATTTCAGTTGTGTTGACGTACCCTCCTCCCCTGATTTCTCTCTAGTACCCCTAAGGGTATTCGTAACCACTGGTTGAGAAACATTGCCATAGAGTATAAAGTCATCTTTATCCACAGGATAGGTGTAGAATGGAAATAATGATAGAGAAATATGCATTGCTCACTCAGAGGGGTCCTAGTTAAAGTCTCCTTGCTCTATTCAATTCTTGCTACTTTCTGAGACTTCCAACAGATTCACCAACTGGTATAGTAAACACAGATTGTAGATACTCTTCCACTAAAAGTTGAATGAGATCCACACATTTCTTCTATGTAATGCACAGAACTATCAAATTGGCTAAAGTAAAATAGACAAGTGAGGCTGCATATTCCAGTCCCTTAGCTCTCCAGTCTCCCATTTCTAGTTTGGTAGGACTGGTCTAATATTTGCATTTATAAGACAACTTGTGTATGCATTGGACTTAGATGTATCAATCTGCAAATGCGTTTTGATTTCCAAATAGCGCAGGTATGTTGCATATTAACACACCCTGTATTATGTTTATGAAAGCACTAAAATAACATTTTAGGCAAAATGGGGGAAGAGGGAATTTTTCAGTAATTAGGAATAGAATGACATTTTCCATCTCTTTTTAATTGCTGGCTCCAGTCCAGCTCAGGTCAGTAGCGAGAGGCCTGATGTCTTACAGAAAGACTTGGTCTGTCTAAATTGCAGAATTTTTGTTGTCAGTCTCTGCAAGGAGAACTCCCTTTGACCGTTGAACTCTAAAAATGGCCCTCTAAGTTAGCATTGAAGCCTGTTCGTTATTTGTGGAAACATTTCTTTTGCACTTCAGGGAAATTGAGGAAAACCATTTTTTCTTAGGATATGAAGTAATTTTAAGGAGAAGATTTTCTTCCTCTGTGCTTTCTAATGCTTTTTTCTCACCTGACTGCCATCTTGCTGGCTTTAATGGAGAGATTTTCAGGTAGGGAAGCTGAGTGGGAGATTTGAGTAAATGCAAATGTACTTCTGGATTGCGTGGCTTGGAATGTTTGAGCAATTCTTACTTATTTTATGATTATGAAATTGAAACAACTTATTATGAGGAGTGCACTGGCTTCATAGCTACCTCCTGTTTAAGTTAGATGTTGGATAGATTCTCTTTGTTTACAGCAGCACGATGGTTACATTTCTGTACTTCATTAGTAGATATTCAGTAATCAAAGGTTGCTAAAAGTGTCAGGTTGGTTTATAATTTTGATATACGACTGAAGGCTGTCTCAAATGCTTGCCTTTGAAATTATTACCAGATCTGTATGGGGTCACCTGAGATTCATAGCATCTAGTGTAAGTTCAACAGTAGGCCCCTTACTTTGATATTGGCAGGTAAATTTCTGTTTTCAGTTAATCTCTGAAGGTGGAGAAGTTCAAACTCAATGCTAGCCACTTACAGTGAAGGGAACTGTGCTGTAGAAGATTAAGATTCACACTAATTTGATTTCAGAGCAATTACAATGGTGTGATTTGCCCTGGTCTAATATTGACCCAAAGATAAAGAAGGCAAGGAATATTCTTCCTGCCTTTGTTAGTCAACTGATTGTAATTGAGCAGTATTTCTGTCCTTGGCCCTCCAAAAAAGTTGTTAAAGTTCAAAGCTCAAACAGAATAGCTGGGGGTACAAGCAATTAAATTCCTTTAGGCTGGCATTACGGTTAATAGTGCAAATTGTTACCTTGATGTGTGCAAAACTTAGTTGTGAAGATAAGTTATTTAACTGAGGCTGTTCTTTTAATGTGTGGAACAGAAATACTGAGTATTGTTGCCCTTTGGGAAGCCTTTGGATGATCTCTTTCCTTCTGGATATTGGAAATGCGTGGATGCACATTTAAATTAATTTATAAAAATCCCTAGAACTCTATCTTCAGCCAAATGATGTGCTCTCGCTAGGGAACTGGAGGAAGAAGAAAGTGGAAAAATAAAGCCTGATTTAGTATACCAGGAGCAAGGTCTGGTAGGTGAAGCACAGGATTCAGAGTCAAAAGGACCTGGCTTTTATCCTGCATCTGCACAGACTTAGTTGATTCTGGGCAAGTCACTTAAATCCTTTGTCCCAGTTTCCCCAACTTTGAAATATGGATAGTGATGCTTCCTGCCTAATAATGGAAGCTTAATTCATCAATATTTGTAAAGCACTTCAGTATCCTTAATTGTAAAGCATTATTACTATTTTAGTAATTTGTCCAGCTACAGTGAATTCCTGAAACTCTCCCCTTTCACGGCAAACTTGACTGTCATCAAGGTCTCCCCCCTCGGTTCGTTCACAAGGCCCAGTGTGATGTCTTTCAATGGAACGTAGCAAACAACCAAACAAGGCTATGGGGTTCCCTTTCAGAACACTCGGTACTGCTTCATTAATGGTTGAAGATGATGTAGAATTATGTGCTAGATAGTATATCTATTGTTTTACTCATCCACTGCCTATGTGGCAGTTTGCTACCTCCAGCATTACCAAATTTAGTTTTTTAAAGGGAGCTTTTCCTGTGAGATACAGACAGGTCTCAAACTTAGTATCATTTGTGGAGGCTTGGTGTCAAGGCTGAAGGGAAATCCCCAGTGTTTGTGCCATACACAGAACATCTTGCTAACTTTGTTCTGGATGTAGCTGATAGGCTTATGATGATCTAGTCAGCCAGTAAAATGTCATTGTATGGAGCAGAGTTGAATACTGACAACACTGTTTTCATATGAGTGCCAGGACACACTACATATTGGAAAGCATTGGATGATGCTGTGAACATTATTTAGACTAGGCATTGTTAATGATTTGTGAAATTTCTGCTTTGGTAAATTAACTTGCAAAAACAAAGTCCACGACTTAGTTTTCTTCTTTGGCAACTTTATTTTAATCTCTAAAATTTGTCTTTCTGTTGCAGCAGGAGGCTCTTATGGGGACCATAGTTACTG